AACCGACGGCTGTTCGGTGCGGCTTAGATCTGAGGAGGGGTGGACGGTGACTGCTCGAGGGAGACGAACGACGACGACTGTCGGTGGTTGAGGACGGCGGCGTCTGTTCGGGTGCAACGACAGCGAGGTTGGTGTGGTGCTGTTGGCGAGCAAGGGGAAGCACGGCCAAGGGGTTCGACGTTCGACTTTGGGCACGAATCACAGAGGCGATTAGTGACGGTGAACTCGACGACGTGGCTTTGCTCGGCGATGACGCTGTTGCTGTCGGAGGTGGAGGAGCAGGGAGGGTCGGTGGCTGCTCACGGTTGAGGAGGAGCAGGGAGGAGGCGGCGGATCTGTTGGAGGGACGGAGAGCAAGGCAGCGAATCTGGAGTTGATGAGCGGGAAGGCGCGGGTGGCCGGGACTGCGCTGAAGGGAGGAACGGCGGCTTGTGGCGGCGCTGGAGACGGGTGACAGAGGTTGTTTGAAGAAGAGAGGAGATTGGTCTAGTTGTGACTGCTGGAGGAAGGGATGAACAAGGTTGATTTTTTTTTCCCTTTTTTTTGTGAAGAGAGAGAAGAAGTGACGGCTGGAAACAATGAATAGGGAAACAAAATTGAGCTTAGGGTTTCACACCCATGGTTTCACACCAATAAGCCAATACAATTTCATTTCAATTTTCATTCATCAATTCATCAATCCTTTCATTTGATTACAAGAGTTCTTAAATAAGAGAAAATACAAATCTCTCATAATCACTCAGATTCCTCAAATCTCTCTCATAATCAAATACAATCAATTAACTACCAAATAACAAATAAAAATTCGAAATTCAAAAATTCAAAAATTCAAAAATTCAAAATCCTATCAAAAATAGAAAATCGCTAAATATAAGAAACTGCTATTCTTGTCCTCATCATTCTCCCCGGGTGGGAGAAAACTCGACTCCGTCGAGTTAGCTGCAGAAGCTTGTGATCTTCAATATAATCTACTTGCATCTTAATCTGTCATCATATACTTTCCTGCATCTCAAATCATTAGTTAAATTGCATTGTAAATTCACCATCTAAAATATTATCAAAATTCACTGTTGCATGGGTGAATATATAGAAGTGGGGGTAAAGTGAAACATCTCTCAGAAACAATGAGCTAGGGTCAGGCTTATATCAGTGGACTGTCAATAACATTGTGAACTGTTTAATCACTCAATATTGAGAATAGAACTATGACCAAATCGATAATATAAATGTTGCTATTAATTATTTCAAGAGTTAGAAAAGCTCATAAATATCATGTCAAATCTTAAACAGCTATAAAGAAACTGTTTTGGACAAGTCCAAACCATCTAAAATATCAGCATTAACAATTTTAAATAACGTCCTGACTCCATATCATATATTTCAGCTAACAATGTATTTATTCAAATTAGATCACTGATTCCCCAATATATGATCAATGCAAAATAACAGTGATGTAAATCAACTCAAATGAGTATGTATGAAATGCAGACTCGAACAATATGATCAAAGGTAGATGTAAACTCAACGAAGTACTTAACATGCATAACATCCTCGATCAAAAGGAATAATTAGGCGTTCCTTCGTTAATATGAACAACAAATTTCTTATTCTGGCAATGATAGTGAAAACACATGCGTAAAAGTGAGTGTTTTGTGTGCACTTGATATGAGTAGAAAAAGGAAATGAAACACTCGTGCCACAACTTGCATCATTAATCACTATATTTTCCCAAAATGCGATCAGTGTATGTGTGAGTGACTATCGGGACAATGCATGTGGGTTTGACATTTAATATGGTAGTTCACTAGGCTCAATTTGGTATTCAACTTCCATACAGATATCCGATTGAATCGCTTTAGGACCCATATCAGGAACGTGTTGGGGATCATGTTGGTCCGGGAGGACTCTGTGGGGAACATCAACAGCGTTTTCAATCACTGGAGTTGGTTCAGAAATAGTTGGAGTTTCGATTTCAAGAACAACTTCAGGGATAACATCAGTGGACTCCGTGATCAAAGGGGTAGCTTGGGGAATAGTCGGAGTGTTGTCATTGCATGAAACTTTAGTGAACTCCACAATTACAGAGGTAGTTTCATAATGAACGGAAGTGCGTGGATTTTTAATTTTACTATACTGGAATTCCTTTGCAGAGTTAATTTCTATCAAATCTACGGCCTGATTAACGGTTTTCTCAAGAATAGATTTTGATTCTGTCATATGCGGCTTATTAATTTTAACTGGTGGAAGGTATTCCCTTTTTAGTTCGTCAGCCATTTCTTGCCAAGTTAAAATTGGTAACTCACCACTAATATATCTTAATGATTCGAATTTGGACCAATATTGGCAGGCTGGCCCGGTGAGTTTCATTGCCGCAAACTTGACTTTTTGTGGTTCCGTCATGGCATACCAGTCAAAGTATCGATCCATATTCTTCAGCCAATTCAAGAAAGTTTGTGGGCCGAGCTTACCGTCAAAGGTTGGTGGATCAGACACTGGTTGAGGTGGGGGTCGATGAACGACGTACCCATGACCTTGCGGTGGGTATCCATAGCCTTGACTTTGTGGCGACAGAGTTGCAACACGCGCTCCTTCAAGCCTAGCAAACCTTTCGTTGGTTTCATTCTGGAAATTTGTTAAGCTCTGGGCTACGACACCTATTTGTTTTTTTGCCTCATCGAATTTCTTAAGGAATTCAAAAGACATGCTGGACTCACTAACTGATTGACTTGACTCACCTAAGGTAGATCTGTACGAGTGGTCATGCACTAACAATGAGATGAGATGAATGGTGTGCACAAACAGCTAAATGGGATGAATGCGTTTTTTTGAAATATCAAATAAAAGACTCAACTAATCTAAAAATAAAAATAAAAAAAATAAAAAAAAATCCTACCCTAGAACCATGCTCTGATACCAAAATGATGTAAAACGAAACAGGGGGTCCATCGGAATCAGCGATTTAATTTGAATAACGCACCATCTTGCCAAAATACATGATATTCGGTAGGAAATTAAATTAAAACAGTTAACGCGACAGATGGGTTTAACAAGATTTATAACAATAGTCATAAACAGTTCCAATCTCAAATATTTTAATCGCAATATTAATTATTATTTCGCAAGTTCTATATTCAATATCACAATTAATCAGTCACATGTTCAGTTCTCTCAACTCACAAAATAAATTAAACAGTGAATATATGATAATAGTTTAGAGATTGAATACGCATGCAATTAACTGATAATTATGAGATTAACAGAAATTACTGAGTTGAGGGATTACTATCCAAAATGCTGAGAGAAATCCAAAAGCCCATTAGCTTCTACAGTGAAGCCCACAACCCAACCTGTCAACAATCCATCGATATATTCTGATCTCTGTTCTTCTTCGATCTCAGGAAACAAAGAAACCGACGGCTGTTCGGTGCGGCTTAGATCTGAGGAGGGGTGGACGGTGACTGCTCGAGGGAGACGAACGACGACGACTGTCGGTGGTTGAGGACGGCGGCGTCTGTTCGGGTGCAACGACAGCGAGGTTGGTGTGGTGCTGTTGGCGAGCAAGGGGAAGCACGGCCAAGGGGTTCGACGTTCGACTTTGGGCACGAATCACAGAGGCGATTAGTGACGGTGAACTCGACGACGTGGCTTTGCTCGGCGATGGCGCTGTTGCTGTCGGAGGTGGAGGAGCAGGGAGGGTCGGTGGCTGCTCACGGTTGAGGAGGAGCAGGGAGGAGGCGGCGGATCTGTTGGAGGGACGGAGAGCAAGGCAGCGAATCTGGAGTTGATGAGCGGGAAGGCGCGGGTGGCCGGGACTGCGCTGAAGGGAGGAACGGCGGCTTGTGGCGGCGCTGGAGACGGGTGACAGAGGTTGTTTGAAGAAGAGAGGAGATTGGTCTAGTTGTGACTGCTGGAGGAAGGGATGAACAAGGTTGATTTTTTTTTCCCTTTTTTTTGTGAAGAGAGAGAAGAAGTGACGGCTGGAAACAATGAATAGGGAAACAAAATTGAGCTTAGGGTTTCACACCCATGGTTTCACACCAATAAGCCAATACAATTTCATTTCAATTTTCATTCATCAATTCATCAATCCTTTCATTTGATTACAAGAGTTCTTAAATAAGAGAAAATACAAATCTCTCATAATCACTCAGATTCCTCAAATCTCTCTCATAATCAAATACAATCAATTAACTACCAAATAACAAATAAAAATTCGAAATTCAAAAATTCAAAAATTCAAAAATTCAAAATCCTATCAAAAATAGAAAATCGCTATATATAAGAAACTGCTATTCTTGTCCTCATCAAGAACAGCTGGTGAAATCATAAAACCAGGTTGTGATGTAATTCATTCATGAAAGGGAGAAATGTGTAAATGTCACTAAGAATAATTGTCTTGGAATACTAGACATACATTAAATAGTTGGTGATCTTCTACAGCATATTAGATATAGACAAAATGGCAATATATTCTGGAAAGAAACATTGCATGTTAAGAGATCTAGCATGTACCTATCTGGACAGCCAAAATATGGAAGATGCAACCGAAGCAACTATTTTTTTGAAACAACTGGCCCCATTTTTGAGTGAGATACTTAAGGAATAGTTCAATAACAAATAAACAATAGATGGAGAGCATAGTTCAATATTATAGACGAACGAGTTCAATAATCATAAAAGTACATGTTGACTTATAGAGTATTCTTCGCCATTAAAAACCTACAAAGCTGTGCCACGAGAGGCATCGGTGGTGTAACCGGAAATTGCTCTTCTTTCAGTAAATGTTTCTTCAAAGGGGCTTGCTGATAGGAAGTACTTATGCTATGTCCTATGTACAAGGCTGATGAACACAATATCCTTCAAAATAAACTCAATTTTAGGATGTACCAAAATAGTGAATATATTTTAAGTAGCGGATCTTTTGACAATCTTTACACTCAATAGTTTGAACAAATCTTTTTTTTTTTGGGGGGGTGGGGGGGGGGGGGG